TTAGGTGGGAGCTAAATCTGGTCTTTATACTCCATCTTAGTCAGAAATAGATATGCTTTTAATTTTAATTTAATTTTACTTTATAATTGTGTGTAAAATATTTGCATGGTTCTAATGGTATATTATGAGAAAGTCTAGCGTATCTTCACTTTTACCCTGTTTCTTCTTCCTATAGGCAATTCCTCTTCTTCCTTCTCTTTTTCTTCTTGCTATTATTATTTTATTTTTGCTCTCTCTAGGTAATTTTTTTTTTTAGCTTTTCTCTTATACTCCCATAAAAAAACATACAAACACACCACACATATATATTTGTCTGAATATGTGTGTATCCCCATTTGTTAAATAAATGATAGTGTGTTATATACATAACAGCCATCCTTTATTATCCACTGGGAATTGGTTCTAGGACCCCAGAAGGTACCAAAATCTGTGGGTGCTCAAGTCCCTTATATAAAATGGCATAGGCATATTTGCATATAACCTACACACATTCTCCCATATTCCTTAAATCATTTTTAGATTACTTATAATACCTAATACAATGTAAATGCTATGTAAATAGTTGTTATACTATATTTTTTAAAAAATGTATTTTAAATTGTTGTATTGTCATTTTCTATTTGGAAACTTTGATCCTGTTACCTGGTTCTGAGCAGGGGTAGTCACTACTTCTTTCCTACAACTCTTGTTCCTCTTTAGTTCCTCGGCTTCTTGGTTAGCTCCCCTTCAAACCCAAGCAGATATATGGGATGCAGGATTGGGATGTAGCTGTCTGCTGTTGGAACAGAGGGTGGACAAATTGGTATAACTTACAGGAAGATAGATTTTGATTCAAAATAAGGTCATGGTAAATCTCTTTATCACAGTAAGAGTTGGCCGACAGTGGGACACTCTGTCCCGTGACGTAATAAATTCTTCATTGAAGGGAAGTTTCAGGGGCAGCTGCGGGTCCACCTCTCTGAGATCCTGCAGGGAGAGGGCCTTTCCCTGGGAAGGCTTGAACTGCAGTTCAGCTCTGGATGGGGAAAGATGAAACTACTTCAGTTTTTTTCTTCCCCATTTCAATTGCTGTTTCTATCCCATATCATCCTCCCTCTTTCCCTCCCTGCCTCTCCCTCCCTGCCTCCCTCCCTCCCTCCCTTCCTTCTTACACTTATTTCTTCCTTCTCTTCCTTCCTTCCTCTTCCTTTCGCGCTTCTTCCTTCCTCTTGCTTCGCTTCATTCCTTCTTTCTTTCCTTCCTCTTCCCCTCCTCTCTTCCCCTCTCCCCTCTGTTTTTTCTGATATTTTTTTCTTTCTTTCTTTCTTTCTTTCTTTCTTTCTTCTTTCTTTCTTTCTTTCTCCTTTCTTTCTTTCTTTTTCTTTCTTTCTTTCTTTCTTTCTTTCTTCTTCTTTCTTCTTTCTTTCTGTTCTTTCTTCTTCTTTCTCCTTCCTTCCTTCCGTCCTTCCTTCTGGCTTTCTTTCTCTTTCTTTCTTTCTTTCTTTCTTTCTTTCTTTCTTTCTTTCTTTCTTTCTTTCTTTCTTTCTTTCTTTCTCTCTTTCTCTCTTTCTCTCTTTCTCTCTTTCTCTCTTTCTCTCTTTCTTCTTGACAGAATCTTGCTCTGTCACGTAGGCTGGAGTGCAGTGGCATGACCTATAACCTCCACCTCCTGGGTTCAAGCAGTTTTCCTGCCTCAGCCTCCCGAGTAGCTGAGATTACAGGCATGCACCACCACACCAGCTAATTTTTGTATTTTTGGTAGAGGTGAGGTCTCACCATGTTGGCCAGACTGGTCTTGAACTCCCGGGCATAAGTGATCTGCCAGCCTTGGCTTCCCAAAAGTGCTGGGATTACAGACATCAGCCACTGTACCCGGCCACTCTTCCCTCTCTTTTCTCTCCCATTTCATCTTCTAAATTTTGCATAGCTCATGCTTTGTCTGTGAGAGATGCCCAGAACCCTCAGGATCCACCTGCTGAACTTGTGCAGTGTGCGTAACCAGCTATATTCATCTGCTGACCATAAAGGCATCAAGCCTTTCATTGCCAGATGTTTCCATGGAGCCAGTTCTCTCAGCAAGTGTGTGAGTTTCTGATTGTGTGTGTGTCTGTGTGCATCACGTTTGTGCTTACACATGGGCATGAGTATTGTAGCTGGAGTTGCAGCTCAAAATAACAGAAAAGGAGTTTGCTCAGTGGGGTATGTGAAGTGATGGGTAGCAGTGGCCTTGGTTACCAGGGAAGACTGGTTTCCCCTCTTGTCTTCGGCCACTTGTTTCCCCTCCTTCATATCCCCTCCCCAGCCCTGGGCTCACTCCCCAAGGTTAATTTTCCTCACAGCAGCTGTGACTCCATCCTCCTTCCCCACCTCCATCTACCACGCATGCACACACACGAACACATATGCACACACACACACACGCTTTGAGTTATGTGCCTCCTGTTCTAATGAGATAAACAACATAAGTCTCATGGGGCCCTGCTCTTCCCTCTGTAAGTGGAACTCCAGCACTGAACGTGTTGTTCCTATAAAGGAACCCTGGTGTCTGTCAGCCTGGTGAGGAGGGCAAGGAAGGGGCCAAGGAGCCCCAGGGGAGCTCTTGGGACCATTTGCTTGTTGTGATGAGGTGGATTCAAAGCAGACATGAAACAGAAGGCTGTTTCTACCCTCATGGCTAAAGAATCAAGTGGCAGCTTGGTGGATGGTGCGGGGGTCCGTCCTGTTGCATGGGTGTGGAGTCCAAGACTAGGTCAGCTAACTTGTGACAGTTAAAAACTGACATCTGTCATCTTTATGGATCTAGAGAGCTTTCTCTTGAATATAAGTGAATCCCCATGACAGCCCCTAGGAGGTAGGTATTAATGTTATTAATGCCCTTGTCGTATAGCTGAGGCAATAGGCTCAGAAAGGTGTTAGGATGTTTCCCAGGACTGACGTGCTTTTCCTTTGCACTGCAGAGCGTCTCCGATCCAGCAGAGAAAGAATGAAACAAAAACAGCCCCTTCTTCTGGAGATTCGAACTAGCTGCTAAAATGAATTCTCCCAGAAGAATGGGCCTAAAGCTCCAAGCAGAGTGGCCTGGGGCTTCTCTGGTACCGCTGACCGCCAAGCACAGTGACTGCTGTCTCAGGGAGGGTGTAGGACCTGGTCAAGTGTGGACACTTTTGCACTCTTGCCATGTAGACCTTTGGGGGCTGCTGGTGGGGCCAGCTCGCTCGCTCTTACCTGTGTTTGATTGGGTTGGAAGCACCATGAAGCGGCCTCTGGGCTACGAAGGAAACCTAAGGCCCAGAGATGGCCGTGGGAGGAGAGGGGGTGCAGGGAGCTCTGACCTCAGGCCTGAGCCTTCACTTCTGGAGTCCCTCTTGGGTGGTTTGGATCTGGGTGGATGAGTCCCCTGGAGCCAGGAACAGCAGGGCCAATGGTCATTCGATTCTGACATTTCTGAGTGCAGGTCAGTTCTGGATTCTAAGAACCAAGGGATGGGGAGGTCAGAATCTCCAACTTGCTCACAATCTTGCAACCTATGGAGCAGCTGTGTGATTAAACATAAAGAGACCTGAATATTTTCATTCCTTTAATGCTGGGATAATTGACTCTGTCTTAGACCCATCCCGATAAATGGGTAGAGTTGACTGGTAAAAATGAAAATGAATGAATGAGTATATAGCAATGAAAGTTACATAGATTTTCTCTGCAAAGGTGAAGAATGAAGCCAGTTTCCCTTCTTAACTTTTAAGGGCCCTGAAATGGAAGACAGCAGATGGAAATCAGGTGCTGGTGTTTCCTGAGCCCATGGTCCTAGGTGTGTGCAGTGACACTTTTGTGGTAGGCCGCCTACATCCAACAGCTGTCATGTGCCACATTTACCTGCAGAAGACAGAGTTGTGACTTTAAAGGGAAGCTGCAACATATTTGTTCATTAATTCAATGAGTATTTAGTTTGGTTCCACTCTGTGTCGGGCACAGTTCTGATTCTGGGATTTCTGACAAGAACAAGACAGAAAAGTCCTTGTCCTCATTAGGCTTTTCTTCCTATTAGGGGTTGGTTGGCTTGCTGGTTTATTATGGGGGTTATCAGACACTCTCTTCAAGATTGCGAATCACCTAGCCAGTCTGAAAATTACCTAGCCAGTCTCAAATACCTGCCTTTTCACCCCTCAGCCTCCTCCCCACCCCATTTCCCTGGGAATAGTCTGTGGCCTAGCATGGAGAAGCCCCTGTTCCTCCAAGGCCTGTGGCTGCCACCGGAGCCACAGAGTTGTTGTCTGGTGAGCAGGAAGGCTCCTCATGGTGCTTGGCATGCAGCATGGTGTCAAAGGCCACACACACGGTGTGGCATGTGAGCCCAGCCCCTGGCCTCCTGCCTGTTTTTTTTTTTTTTTTTGTAAGGCCAGGCACATAGGCTGGGATATAGAGGTATGCGGGCTCTGCAGGTCATGTGGCCTGGTCACCAGAGTGGGCTTATGTTCTCATGGGGGCTACACAAGGCTCCATTTGCCTGCAGTGAGCTGCCAGCAGCTGGAGGTGAGAGATGCCTCTGAGTAGATCTAGTGTTTTTGGTTCTGTCTCTTTGCGATGCTTCTCAATCCAGGCTGTCCATATGGTAGGACAACTGACTACTGCTCCATTTTGAAGGAAACCTGCTTAACCTGGATCCGGATGGAGGGGCGGTGGATAGAGATCCACTGCTTTGGAGACACTGCAAAGGTCCCTCTTGTCTGAAGGTCCAGTTGGTGATCTCTCCAGGCAGGAGAGCAGAATTGGTTTTGGTGAAGGCAATGGCTCTTGTTGGCATGTGCTTGCTGAGCAGCGTGGTGGAGCTGACAGAGCCAGGGTCCTGGGGTCAGATGACCTAGATTCAGCCTTGCCACTGCCAGCAATCAGCTTTGTGATGTTGACAAGTCACTTCTCTCTGGGCTTCAGCTCCCTCTCCTTGTGAATGACAGGGTTAGTTAGGGTCGTTTCTAAGGCCCCTTCCAGTCTGGAGCCTTTAATCTTTACATTGTCTCTGTCCACAGGCCTTGCCCCGGGCCAACTGTATACATACCCTGCCCGCTGCTGGCGCAAGAAGAGACGATTGCACCCACCTGAAGATCCAAAGCTGCGGCTGCTGGAGATAAAACCTGGTCAGTGCGTGCTGGAGCTTGGTTGGGTCCGTGATGGGAAAGGTGGGAGGACTGGGCTGGGCCCAGGACAAGGTTGGTTTACTCCTTTGTCCATAGAGCTAAGTTTTCCGGGAGAGGGAACATGCCCACATTGTGCTCAAGGGTGCACCTCTGTGCCTGCTGAGTAGAAACATGACCACGCGTCCACCTGAGGTTTTCTCCCCTCTGGGTGTCTCGTGCCTTCCCTTTGCCACCCCAGGGGAGGAAAACAAGCAAGCAGGAGCAGCATGGGACCAGTTCCAGGATGACTTTCCCGACAGAACTGAAGGCTGTGCAGCTCTTTCGGGTCATGTGATACCTTTCTTGTGGCCTCAAGTAAAGAAATCTTGGCTCAGTTTGTATATTTCTGAGGAGAAGAGAGTACACTGTGGACCCTCTACCCCTTACCCTGTATGAGCTTTGGAGCATCTTACACAAAAAGGGGTCAGTTCACTAAAAATTGCACTTACCTTGGATGCGGATGGAAGAGTTTGAGTTTAAAATTTACCCGAGTGACGCAGATTGCTCTGTGGCCACACAGAAGGAATTGGTGGGGTTATGTTTATACTGATCTAATATATATACATTATTGAGACGGAGTCTAGCTTTGTTGCCCAGGCTGGAGTGCAGTTGTGCGATCTCCACTCACTGCAAACTCCGCCTCCCTAGTTCAAGTGATTCTCCTGCCTCAGCCTCCCAAGTAGCTGGGATTACAAGTGTGCACCACCACTCCCAGCTAATTTTTGTGTTTTTAGTTGAGACAGTGTTTCACCATGTTGGCCAGGCCGGTCTTGAACTCTTGGCCTCAAGCGATCCACCTACCTTGGCCTCCCAAATTGTTGGGATTATAGGCATGAGCCACTGTGCCTGGCCTATGCTAATCTAATATTACACTTCTGACTATGTGGCTGTCTTCAGACCTGTGTCTGTGTTGCAGCAAGTCAAGTGATTACCCTAGGCCCTTAGCTTTAAAGCCATCTTTGTTTTTGAGGGTGCCAGGCTGGGATATGACTCAGGGTGGTAGGGACAGTGCTGTTCAGTGGTGCAAATAGAGTTGACATACTTCCTCCCACTGTCACCAAAGCATTGCAGACTGTCAAGGCTGCCTGCCTGGCAATGGTACCTCACTCGTTCCTTTCAACACTGGTCCCTTAAGCTGACTTTGCTCTGCAAAAGCTCTACCTACAGTTCCAGGGTTACGACTGCTTTGATTGTTCACTTCAATTCACTTGAGTAGAAGTTTTATTTGTTTATTTTATTTGTTAGGGGTGAGTGGGCTCCAGATTCTTCAATATGCTCTCTCCCAGGTCTCCAGGGTCCTTATACCAATTTACAGACCCTTGCAAATACTCCAGGGTGATGACCGAGGTTGTCCCAACCCCCGCCTCGTTGCAGGTTGTAGGAGATCATCAGGGTCTCCTAGACCAGCACGATGCAATAGAAATATAATGCAAGCCACATGTGTCGTTTTACTTTGTCTACTAGTTACATTAAAAAAAGGAAAAAGAAACGGGGAAATGAATTTCAATCATATATTCCATTTAACTCAACATATCAAAAACATCATTTCAGCATGTCATCAATATAAAAATTATGAGATCGTTTATGATCTTTTTTGGTACTCTTTTTGAATTCCGTTGTGTATTTTACACATCCCCACATCTCTTTTTGGACTAGCCACAGTTCAAGCACTCAGTAGCCACATGTGACTAGTGGTGACCGTATTGATCAGTGTGGTTCTAGACCTACCTTCAAAGTGCGGTCCTGACCAGCAGCGGCAGCATCACCTGGGGCTTGTCAGACGTGCAGAAGCATGGTCCTCGCTCCTGACCTGCTGCATCAGAACTTGCATTTTATCATGATCTCCTGGAGTGCATCCCCAGAATGCATGATGAAGTGTGAGAAATGCTGGTCTCGAAGACTTATAGGTAGCTAGACTACAAGTCACCCTGGCATGACCATAAGCACGAAAAAAGTCTTATGTAATTTTTAAATTAAAAACTTTTAAAATTTATTTGACTTTGAGTAGGTAATACAGTTACATGTACAGTTTTTATTTTATTTTATGTTTTTATTTTTGTTTAGAGGATAGGGTCACACTCTGTTGCTCAGTCTGGTGTGCAGTGGCTCCAAAGAGCTCACTATAGCCTCCAACTCCTGAGCTCAAGCGCTGCTTCCACCTTAGCCTCCTCAGTATGTGGGGACTACAAGTGCATGCCACCATGTCTGTCTAATTTTGTCTTTTCTGTAGAGACAAGGTCTCACTCTGCTACTCAGGCTAGTCTTAAACTCCTGGCTTCAGATAATCCTCCTGCCTCGGTCTCCCAGAATGCTAAGATTACAGGCAGGAGCTACTGTGCCTGGCAGTTACATATTTTGACATTCAAAAGATAAAAGGATATACTGTATCATGAAAAATAAGACCCAGTCTCTCCAAAGGTAATCAATAGTAGCAGTTTTTTTTTTTAGATTCCTTCAAGAGATAATTCATGCATGCACCAGGAATTAAATCTATCTAGCTTTCCCTCCTCTTTTTACACAGCACAACCACTTTGGGTTTTGCACTTTTCAATTAAAAATGTGTCTTAGATATTGTCCACAGCAAAATGTAAAGAGTTTCTTCATTTCTTTTCCGTAATTACATAATATTCCGTTGTATGAATGTACCACAATTTGTTTAACTGGCTGTTCTCAATTTTTGTTTCTAAATTTTCCAATTTAACCAGTGATGCAATGAATATTTTGCGTGTATATGAGGATGTCTCACATGTAAGTTGTCAATTTAAAGGGTTTTATTATAAGTGCTTGACACATTTTAAATTATTAGTCTTTATTCTTAACATTTCTGTAAAAAGTCTTGGTTAAGAACAATTTTTATCAGACTAATTAGGTCTCCTTTTATAGAAGCAAAGACGTTTAGCACTACACAATACCTTAGATATCACTAACTCCGATTCCTTATTTTATTGGAGTCTAGACAGTTTAATAAACTTGTTCAAAGTCACACAGCAATTTGTGTGGGTCCAGCAGAAAATCTAGGTTGCCTGATTTCACTGTTCAATGCTTTTTCTGCTTCCTCATACTATTGATAGGTATACTAACTTAAACTTTAGCAAGGCTTCTTCTCTTAAAAACTTTATTTTATGATTATAAAACTAATATATAAATTATTAAAATAACCAAGAGATAGTTGAAATTCCTTTAGTCATAAACATTGGAAGTTCAAGTCAAGCAATTTTAAGCAGAAAAAGGGAAGTTGGCTCATGTACCAGTAAATCCCCAGGTTTGTCTTGCTTCAGGCATAGCTGCATCCAGGTGCTCAAACATAGTGAGAGTAGTGAGGGCTACATGTCTTTTTCTTTCCTTCCTTCTTTCTTTCTTTCTTTCTTTCTTTTCTTTCTTTTCTTTCTTTTCTTTCCCTCCCTCCCTCCCTCCCTCTCTCTCTCTCTCTCTCTTTCTTTCTTTCTTTCTTTCTTTCTTTCTTTCTTTCTTTCTTTCTTTCTTTCTTTCTTTCCTTCTTTCTTTTTCTTTCTTTCTTTCCTTCTTTCTTTCCTTCCTTCCTTCCTTCCTTCCTTCTTTCTTTCCTTCTTTCCTTCTTTCTCTCTTCCTTCCTTCCTCCCTCCCTCCTTCCCTTCCCTTCCTTGCTTCTTTCTTGCTTTCTTTTTCTTTCTTGCTTTCAACAGGATCTCACTCTGTCACCCCAGCTGCAGTGGCACAATCACAGCTCACTGCAGCCTCAACTTCCTCAGATGGCAGCAGGCAAAGAGAGAGCTTGTGCAGAGAAACTCTTGTTTTTAAAACCATCAGATCTCGTGAAACCCATTCACTAGAATGAGAACAGCATGGGAAAGACCCATCTCCATGATTCAGTTATCTCCCACTGGGTTCTTCCCACAATGTGGGAGTTAGGGGAGCTACGAGATGAGATATGCATGGGGACACAGAGCCAAGCCATATCATTCCACCCTGGACCCTCCCAAATCTCATATCTTCACATTTCAAAACCAATCATGCCTTCCTAACAGTCTCCCAAAGTCTGAACTCATTTCAGCATTAACTCAGAAGTCCACAGTCCAAAGTCTCATCCGAGACAAGGCAAGTCCTTCCGTCTATGAATCTGTAAAATCAGAATCAAGTTAGTTACTTCCTAGATACAATGGGGGTACAGGCACTAGATAAATACAGCCATTTCAAGTGGGAGAAATTGGCCAAAACAAAGGGGCTACAGGTCCCATTCAAGTTCGAAATCCAGCATGACAGTCAAATCTTAAAACTCCAAAATGATCTCCTTTTAATCCATATCTCACATCCAGGTCATGCTGGTGCAAGAGTTGAGTTCCCATGATCTTGGACAACTCTGCCCCTGTGGCTTTGCAGGGTATAGCCTTTCTCCTGGCTGCTTTCATGGGCTGGCGTTGAGTGTCTGCGACTTTTCCAGGTGCAAGGTGCAAGCTGTCAGTGGATCTACCATTCTGGGATCTGGAGGATGGTGGCCCTCTTCTCACAGCTCCACTCAGTGATGCCCCAGCAGGGAATCTGTGTGGGGGCTCCCACCCGACATTTCCCTTTCACACTGCCCTAGGAGAGGTTCTCCATGAGGACCCCACCCCTACAGAAAACTTCTGCCTGGGCATCCAGGCATTTCCATACATCTTCTGAAATCTAGGCAGAGGTTTCCAAACTTCAGTTCTTGACTTCTGTGTACTCACAGGCTCAACACCACATGGAAGCTGTCAAGGCTTGAGGCTTGCATCCTCTGAAGCCACAGCCTGAGCTCTGCATTGGCTCCTTTCAGCCACAGCCGGAGCAGCGGGGACACAGGGCATCAAGTCCCTAGGCTGCACATAGCAGAAGGACCCTGAGTCCAGCTCACAAAACCATTTCTTCCTCCTAAAGCTCCGGGCCTGTGATGGGAGAGGCTGCTGTGAAGACCTCTGACATGCCCTGGAGACATTTTCCTCATTGTCTTGGGGATTAATATT